GTAACATCATATTTGTAAAATTGGAAATATATTTTAAGTTGTGGGAGGATGTACTATATATGTTGATGCTGCCTTACAAAATAATATTTATTACGATACGCAACAAACTTGTATTAAACTTTATTTAACTTTAATTATGATAATTATATTATTATTATTTACTTATTACATATTATATATATATATATCTGTTTAAGTTTTCGAATTTTTAACTTCTTTTTTTTCTTTTTAAACCTAGTAATGGTTAAATTTCCCTTTAAATTTTATTTTGTTTAAGATAGAAATCTAATACAATGATAGAATTGCAGCGTGTTTTATTTTAATTAAATCTGAACTTCTCTAATTTTCTTTGATTCTTCATACGTGAAACAAAATTTTATTTTATAATTAATAATAATGCAATAATAATGAAATCTATAATAGTAAATATGTAATGATAAAAACTTAATTAAATCAATAATTTTGACGTATAGTATATAGTAATATACCGGATGGCAATTAATAAATGATTTAGTAGTACAAAAGTGTAGTTGGCCCAGAAGTGCTAAAAATGCAGATATATTTTTTGCAGAAAATATAAATAAATTTTACAAAAAGATGTGAAGTCCTTCTAAAAAAAACCTTACAAAGGTAAAAGAAATACGCCAAGTACATAAAAAATATTCCACCTTGTATGCAACAAAACGTTTAATAAAAAAATACTCTTATAATAAATAATTTATAAAAATTTTCCCTCAAAAAATATATAAAATTTTCCTAAAAAAAATCAAAACTAAATATGAAATCAATGATTAATTAGCCAAATACATTGAAGCAATTGATAAGGATGTGTAATTTGAAATATTTGTCACAAATTCAATCTTGCATTTATATATTAGATTCTTGACAAAATAAAAATGAATTTCAAAATAAGTTCCAAGTAAATTTGGAACTAAAAAAAATTAAGACCAAAACAACTTACAAAAACTTGGCGTGCTTGGGTTGTATTATAATTCACATATTTCTATAATTGAAATTAATTACAAGTATATAATTCGCAAACTTTGTAAAATTATATGTATTATAAAAATTTTTATAAATTATTTATTATAAGGGTATTTTTTTATTAAATATATGCATATTGCACGTTATATTTACAGCAAAATAGAAAATTAGAGAAAGCAAAAAATATCCACATAAAAAAATATGAACATATATATCATATATAAATATGAACATATATATCGTAGATAAATACAATTTTTACTTTTGCAATCGATCTCAGTAATTATGAGATTATATAAGTTATTAACCTTCAGGTTAATAATCTATTTAATTTATTTAAAGTATATAGGTTATTATAACTTTTTATGATTTTTTAATATAATTAATTAATGCAGCATTTTAACAGTATATATAAATCACTATAATGAAACAAATATTATCAAAAAGCTCTTACCTTTTTCTCTTATGCAACAATAAAAAATCACTGAATATATGCAGCGAGACTGGCGCCTGCTACACACACAGGCGCAAACGTATACATGTGCTGCGCAAAGTGTACTACGCAGCAATATAACCCAATTTAATTAAGAAAAAAATGTTTTAATAAAATAAACCATTTATTATTGTTTATCGTTAATATCTTTCATGTATAAATATTACAAAAAATTATTTTATTGTAGTATTTAAATTTTTTATTACTAAAATTATATTAGTTGAATTTTGCAATATTTCCAAAATATTAATGTTATGTTGCTACAAGTATGCTGGTATTTTGTGGCTCTATATTTCTGAAATGTCTTTGTAATGTTGCATTGCAATTTGCAACATTGTAACGTTGTTGCAATATAATTGCAATGATCTGTGCTGTATAGGTCGATGCTTTTTTTTGAACATCGCTCCCTAGGGATTTACAATTACAACTGACCAAGCTCTGGCAATGGCTACTGGACTAGAGAATTAGAGTCAATCCGCACAAATTTAACTATATAACTTTTATCTTAAATCGGAGAAGCTGCCCATCTGTTAAAATAGGCAAGGAATCTCTATTACTGACATCAACAGTTAAATACCTCTTAATAACCTGAGGAATGATCCTCGACTATCATCAAACCTGGAAAGAACATATCCATGCTAAGCGTAATGAGTTAGCAAACAAAACGCGAAAGCTTATTGCCTTACTTGGCAGAAAATCCAAACTTAATCTTGAAAACAAGTTATATGAAACTATACTAATAACCATAAATCCAGACGTATTATGTAATAAAAGTATGAATAACGCTTACTCAAGGAAGTATAAAATTCGTCGCTTGCGTATATGTGTTATAATTAGAATTTCAATTTTCTAAATTCGCTGAAACACAGGTCTAAATTAAGTTGCAATAATAAAATTAAGATAAGAGATTCACCAAGTTTGGAAAATTATTTATCTATTCTAACGATTTCTTCAAAAAGTAATGATAATATAAAGAAAAAAATAATAATAATGTAAAGGATGGGAAGTTAAAGAAAAATGAAAGAAAAAAAAATAGAAATGAAGAGTTAAATAAGGAAAGGCTGAAACGAGAGATAAAGATGAGAGAAAACTATACAAATTCTCGTTGAATAAATTAGAAAGAGCAATTAAAGAGAAATAAGAATTAAGGAGTAATCGTGGATTTCAGTTCAGAAACCCTAAACGAATAAAGAAGAGTATTCGCGGATTCCAGTATAAAGATCTAAAACAAATGAAGAAGAATATTTACCATTTTCCAGTACATAAATCCAAAATGAATAAGAAAGTGCTCAAGAATAAATGATAAAAGAAGTAAAACAAGAACAGGAAAATGTAATAATTAATTGTGAGGGTAAGTAAACTGTAAAGGATAAGGTGATTTATGTTAAGAAATTAAATAAAAAAAAATAAAACATTTAGCAGGAGTAAATAAAAATAAAAAGAGGAAATGTTTCTGTGGCGGCTAAGATCCGCCATACAGCACTCTGCCGCATACATGCTGTACACGCGCTACGATGCAAACAGAGATTCCTCCGTTTCTAAAACAAACCGATAGCTATAGGGACGAATCATTTCACATAAGAAAAATAATACTAGCCACGGTTTATAAAACGACGGAACACCAAGTCACGGCTCAGCTGCTCTTAAATACGCTCGCTAAAGAGAAGTCGCTGAACCTCTAACTTTTGCAGGAGCATTAACAGCTCCAATTCTAGACCCAAGTTTGGAGTCTGTAATATTTTTTTTACGGTAATTTGCACTTCCGGCACAATCATCGACCGACCGTCGAGGATTCCACGCCAATATTTATGCCCTGATCACCTGAACTTAATATTCGGTCATCAAACGCAGAGGAGCCAGCAGTAAAGCGATTGGCCTTCTAGTTGCTGCCCTGAATGTTGATAACGATCGACATAAACAACTCAAAATTGTCCAGGCCTCCATGCTATCTACTGGGACATCAGAGTAAGGCAGTATACTTCGCCTACCGGCCTTTGAAGCGTGACAGCACTGTCACCACTGACTGTTGATTTTGGATAGGAGAATTCAGACCCAGCTGCCTAGAATACATCGGAGAATCCAGGCGAATCCTTCCTGCCTGGAACAAACGTCTATTAAGCTAGCATGCCAACATGGACACAATGACATAAAAAACGTACAAAATATTTAGTGCTCCTGTGTTAATTTACTGCTCTAATCCTAATTTTACTGCTCTAGCCGTTTAGCGAGAAATTATATTTATGCTTACTTTTAAAAAAGTTAGAATGCCCATTAAAAAAATAATGATAAAAGAATAATAAAAAGAAAGCACTTATATTATAATTTAGTGCTAATTATGTGCTTACAATATACACTAGTTTAAATTTCGGTACACTACTTTTTACACCGGAAACAACCGTAAAATGTACAGGGTGTTGCGTCAACATACAGGTCATTACGACGGGTTGCCCATAGACGCGCAAAGCCGATAATATAGAATAGGTAATACAGATCATTCGCGGACAATTATCGACGTATTATATATACTAGCTGTTACGCTTTGAACGCGTAATAAGCTGTTAGAAGAAGAAATTTCACAACAAAAAATATATTTTTCGTAAAAAAATTATAAACTATTGTCGTAAAACATTTTATAAAAGCACACCCTCCATTTTCAGATATTGCACACAACAATTGACAATCAGATTTGATTATACTAAAACATTACAAGCGCGAGTGGTAGGATATAAACAAATAAAATTTTCATACCACTGCATATACGGTGCAATACAGAAATCAAGAACTCATCGATATGTTATTAATTTATGGCGAATGTCATAAAAACCAAAGAGCAGCAGCATTATATCCCTAACAGCACAAGTAGATTCTGAGAATGTTCTAAGAATATCGCAAAAGTATATTGTGTATATTCTCAGAACAATCTCAAACGTACTGCGATTGACGCAGTACGTTCTGCGAATGATCTAATGTCCGGGGTAGCATCTCCCATAGTATTTCTCCGCGAATGTCTATAGTTGGAGGACAGTTTCAGAAAATGATGAAAATAGGAAGATTCCAGTAGATCATTTATACACGCACACATATATACCGCCAAGTGCGCGCGTGCTCATGCATTGAACAGGATAGGTTAGGATTAGGTTAGGTTAGGATTAGATTATTAATATGTCAATTTTGATTTTTTATTGATGTTTTTATTGCAAAAACGTTAAGATACTTCAAAATATGTGTCATATACATTATGAACACATTATTCTTCATTACATATATGTTATGTATATATATATATATATATATATATATATATATATATAACATTTATAAATAAAAGAAAAAGTAAATTCTCTATATATCGTAAACTCTCTCAAAATAAAGATTTTCATCATAACTCGAACAAAATTTGAAAAAAACAAAATTCTTAATTGTAATCTTTGGCTCTTGCGCTAACGTGTCTTATTTAAATACGTTGACAAGATAATTATCACATTCAGTCAGAGAGCTCTTCTAGTTCTTCCGGAGGATCGTTTCGATCCCTCTGAATTTTTCTTTTTTTTTCTTTCTCTCTATCAATACGCTCTTTAGCGTGAGCTAACCATACTTTTATTGTATTAGATATGTGCTCATCCTTTGCTGCTTCATGCGCGTTTCTTACAATAGCTAAAACAGAAGGAAATATGTTTTTTGAAATTAATTATTCATTATTTCAACTTCTTTTTTATTTGAATAAAAGGCATCTCTAACACATTTGCAAAATGTAATTTAAATAAAATAGAATAAAATAGAATAGAATGAAATTTCTTCTTTTTAATTTTGTTTTTAAGACTCGTATGTAATTATGATGGATATAATTGAAAAATATTAATATGACTATTACAATTTCAAAAATTTTTAACATTTTTCAGAAAATTAAAATATAATGTATTACAAGTGTATCAAAAGTAATTTTTAGTTTTATCAAAATATTCAAGAGTCTTAATAATGTTAGGAAGAAAAAAATTGTTCCTTAAGGGGGAATACGCAGTCAGGCAGCGCGAAAACAGAGGGTCTTTCTCGAATTTTTTAAAAGAAAACGAATAGTTTTTTATTTACAAACTTTTGCATGATATTAATCAACATTTTAAGAACATTTTGTAATTTTTTCATTAAGAAATAATAATAATTATAATTGTTGTGACTATTTTGATATGGCTCCTAAAAAAAAGTGGCATTCCGGTGGACACTGTAACTCGAGGCAGGATCATCTGAAATCAAAAACCCAAAAAGATTTCGTTAGTAGAAGACTTTGTCTTTCATGTGAACGAAGGATTTTGAAAAAAATTAAATTTTGAATTTTTTAGAGAACTTTTAAGTTTAGAGAACTTTTAAGTCACGATTTTTGCTTAAAAAATCGACCGATTTTATTTTTTAAAACAAGTTCTAATCATCAAAAAAAATCCTTCGTTCACACGGAAGGCAAAGTCATCTACTAACGAAATGTTTTTGGGTTTTTTATTTCAGATCATCCTGCCTCGAGTTACAGTGTCCACCGGAATTTTTTGAGGAGCCATATTAAAATAGTCACAACAATTATAATTATTATTTTTTAATAAAAAAATTACGAAATATTCTTAAATTGTTGATTAATATTATGCAAAAGAGTTTGTAAATAAAAAACTTTATTAGTTTCCTTTTAAAAAATTTGAGAAAAATCCTGTTTTTGCGCCGCCTGACTGCGTATTCCCCCTTAATAGTTTACTTACTTAATATTACTTGACACAAGTTCAGCTGGGAAAAATTCTTTTTTTTTTTGGCACCATGCCAACTATATAATACAGCAACTTTGTTTGAGACTATTTGTCTCAATAAATTTAAACATGAATTCTGTGAAGAACCTTGCAAAGAACCCTACGAAGAACTCTGCGAAGAACTCTGCGAAGAACTCTGCGAAGAACACTGTATAGAACATGCGAAGAATCCTGCGAAGAATTCTGCGAAGAGAGAACACTGCGAAGAATACTGCGAAGAACTCTGCGAAGAGAGAACACTGCGAAGAATACTGCGAAGAACGCTGCTGAAAGTTATATATATTTATATACATATATCATTTTAAGACGTTTTAAAAATAATAAAGAAAATGTATTGCATATTTGACAAACCAGAAAAGGAAATAGTGCAATTAAGTTTTACGCAAAGCATAATAATATTATTGTAATATTATTGTACTTTGTATATTATTATATTATTGTGTCCAGATCAAACCAAAGTTAAATTTGAACCTCGAACCGAGCATTTTTTTTTTTTTATTGATACGATTCCTTTTCTGAAACAAGCTCGCCGAAATGCTACTTGGAGAATGCTCGCGGTTTTAGGTTCAACTTGAACTTTTGCTTGATATTCCTGAACACGTTCTAAATTTGTAAAACTATTCTGTTGATACGAAATATATATCTGAGATGTATATCTAAGATATTTTATACTAATTATGTATTAAAAATGTTATATTTTTACATTTTTTGTGTATATAACCTTAAACTATTCTAAGCAGAAAAGCTTTATAAGTATGTAAAAAATATACAAAATATTACGTAAATCATATAAAATCTGTCTGTTAAACTTTATTTACTATTATATGTAAGATAAAAGTTAAAGAAAAAAAGGATTACCTTCGATTTGATAACACGTTGAAATCTCTTACTCCATCGATTACCGAGCAAGCGGGAAGAGACCGGAACAAGAACATATGCAGATGGCGTTGAACGTATGTACCGTTTCCATATTTGGCGTCAAACCTGAGATTATACGCCCGCGATAGAAAGGCGTACGTATCTTTACCGTATCTTTGAGTAAATTCTGAGATTGTACGCACGCGATAGAAAACCGAATCATACTATAAGAGATATTATAGAGTTGTTCTCAGTATCTTACGGATGATCACAGTATAATGAGTATGAAAATGGGATGATACGCAGGATATCATGTGCTGTTAGGGATGCAGGACGTTTCCCAGAGAAGAGACACCCAGGACATGGCTTTTTTCATAGTTCATGTATAAGATTATGCGAACATGGCACGTTGCATGCTTCACGGAAGCCACAGCGAGTCCCATCAAGAGCAAGAGAATCAATTGATGCAGTGAAGATGGCACTCGAAAATAACTCGCACACCAGTATACGAGCCATTGGACGTGATCTACAAATAAAATATACAAAAGTGCATAGAATTATTAAAAAAGATCTCGGATGAAAACCATTTAAAAGACATACAAGTCAAGGTTTATTTCCTGGCAATTTTGCTCGTCGTGAAACATTCTGCGATTGGATGTTAAATCAGGTAAGTGTATGAATGACTTAAATAAAATGTAATAGACATGCAATGAGTATATTATTTCATTTATGTCAATATCTTTCAGATTGACTTTGATAATGTGGTAAATGATGCATTTTTAAAAAAAATTTTGTGGATAGACGAGTGCGTATTTCATAGTGACGGACGCATTAACCGACATAATGAACATTATTATGCTGAAGAAAACCTCATTGCCGCAAAACAACTCATATCCAAGGATATTACAGTGTTAATGTTTGTGCGGGCATTCTGGACGATATGATTATTGGGCCGTTCTTTTTCCCAGAAAATCATCACGTCAATGGAGAAATATATGCTGATTTCATCGAACATACATTAGCTGACTTTTTGGAAGATGTACCGCTAGCTTTGCGGAGAATCATAATTTTCCAACAAGATGGTCATCCTGCCCATACTTCAATTGTCGCCCGTACCATCTTAAACAGGAAACAGATGTATTGGCAAATATAGTAATTTCCAGGAATGGCCGCCGCAATCTCCGGATCTGACACCGTTAGATTTTTTCTGTGGGGATACTTAAAAGACCAAATATATCAAACTTTACCACAAAATAGAGACGATTTAATTAATCGTATACAAACTGCCTTTTTACAAGCCATTTTACACGCCACAAATGTTAAGCAGAGTACGAGAAAGTTTTGTGCGACATGTTGTTTTATGTGAAGAGCACAATGGAGGATATTTCGAATACCTACTGTATATACAGTGATGGGAAAAAGTTCCGGGACGGCTGGATAATTTGAAAAATACGCATCACAGAGGAAAATGACCTAGACAAAAGTTGTAGGATTTTTCCCGGGCAATCCAACGGTGACCTTAGATTTGACCTTGGATAGTCATTTGAAGGTCACATAAAGATTACCTTCAATTTCTTAAGTGGAACTCCCTATTTTTCATTGCATATTCTTGTAGCTTATCTCGAGAGCTTTCCAAAACACTATAATTAAGTACCTTTTTATTAAGTACTTTTTGAGTTATAAGGCTTGAAATAATTTCTTAATTTTACATAAACCATAAAATATCTAGTAAACCATTCATTTTTCGATTATCTTACCTTCATACTTTTATGTACAAAATAATGAGAGGAATCAATTGGTGTAAAGAAAACATACAGTTGTTTTTAAGAAAAAATATGGAATTGTTAATTGCAAATTACATATTTTTTCTTAGAAACAACTATGTGTTTTCTTTACACCAATTGATTCCTCTCATTATTTTGTACATAAAAGTATGAAGGTAAGATAATCGAAAAATGAATGGTTTACTAGATATTTTTTGGTTTATGTAAAATTAAGAAATTATTTCAAGCCTTATAACTCAAAAAGTACTTAATAAAAAGGTACTTAATTATAGTATTTTGGAAAGCTCTCGAGATAAGCTACAAGAATATGCAATAAAAAATAGGGAGTTCCATTTAAGAAATTGAAGGTAATCTTTATGTGACCTTCAAATGACTATCCAAGGTCAAATCTAAGGTCACCGTCGGATTGCCCGGAAAAAATCCTACAACTTTTGTCTAGGTCATTTTCCTCTGTGATGCGTATTTTTCAAATTATCCAGCCGTCCCGGAACTTTTTCCCATCACTGTATAATGTAACATTAATTTTATTGTAAAATATATAACTTAATATAACTCTCAACATTATATTTTAATAATCCTTATTTATATATGATTACAATCCCAGGCAGCAACGTCACGTGATTTTCACGTCGATAAGTAGTGATTAGCGGTCCTCGACGTCATATACTCAATAACTGACGTTTAAGATACGTAAATATTCTAACGTAATAATAACGTAAATTTTAAGACGTTTATAATACGTTTAAAACAAGTCATTTTTATTTAAATAATTTTTTTTTATATAAATTAACTTTATTCTTTTATAATTCGTCAATGAAAAATATAAAAATCTACTAAATATTAAAATATATTAATTATTATAATTTTTATTAAATGTCATTAATAATTGCGCGTATAAATTTTTCCTACGTAGCAAATCTGTCATTTTGACGTCGAATGACGTTATTAAACGGTAAGATGACGTCAAGTAGACATTTAATGACGTCAGTTTGCTACTTCAATAGAAATTTCTATAAAATATTTGAAAGACATTACAAATAAAGATATCTGAAAAACATCTTATCATTTTAAGATGTTTTCTAGGCGTTAAAAAAATAGACATGTGACAATACGCACACAATAATTTAATGCATGAATATTAGGCAGCGCTCATGTACGTGCCTTTTCTTTATGTCAAGTACTTCGTGCATATTCCCCCCGCTTGATGCTACTCATTGGCGGCAACCGGCAACCGGCTATTGTTTTTCGAGAACGTTTTTATTCTGTGCTTTGCGTAATACGATTTACAGTTTGTTTGTTGGTAAGTATCTAATACAAGTTTATTATCTTTATATTGACATATTTTTCTCTCGTACTTGAGCACAAATGTTGAAATATTTAATAATTAGAAATATTTGTAATAGTGTGTTTGTATATAAAGTATGCTTTATTCACATAACCTCTCTGTTTGCTATATTTGGGTTATGTTCCAAAACATCCTTTTTAAGGAAAATTTTACTACTATTATCTATAATGCGATGCACATTTAGTATTTCATAATTAGAAATATTTGTAATAGTGTTATTTTATGAGATACTTAATTCACATAATTTCTGTTTATTATCTGGGTTACGTTCCAAAACATATCCTCTTCCAAGAAAATTTTACTTAAAAAATTAGTGCACGTTATGTGTATTATAGATTTTCAGTAGAATTTTCCTCGAAGAGGACGTTTTGGAATATGTAACTCTGCAAATGCAAAATAGCTACATTTATTTTAATTTTTAACGTATATACTTGTTCTCAAATTTATGTCTTCAATAATTTCAATAATTTCAATAATCCAAAATAAATTCAAAGTAATTAATATTTTTAAGAATATATCATTTATTATTATTAAAAAAATATTTTTTAAATATCAAATTTTTTATATTGATTGATTTATATTAAAATTTGTAGGTTTAATGACATTTTTACTGTCTAGAAAATGTCATTCATTGGAATTGAATTTACAGATGATAGTGGTGGCGGCCTTGCACTTGTAAGCAAACAGTGGTTAACACCACGTAAACAAGAGGTGTTTTGGCCGCCTTATAAATTTCAATCTCAATATAATAAGGCTATTAAAAAAGGCGTAGTCCCAGAGGAAGATGGTTCTTGGAAAATTTTTAAAATTAAACGCTGTTTTTTTGAAACTGGTAAAGTGTAAATTACAAAATTTTCTATAAATATTTATCTTTATGTATATATAATTGTATTGTAGATGATTATAGCAAAGCACAAAGGCAAATCAAACAAGCACAGATAACGTCTGATTGTCAAAGTGAAGTTGAGGAGGTTTTGCCATTAAAGAGAACAATCCATAAACCGAAAAAATTAATATACAGCAGCAGTGATGATGAGGACGAGGTTTTATCTGAGAAGCATAAACTTCCACCACCACCAAAGATTGTCAGATTAAATAACAAGGCAAATAATGATGAAGCATCATCTTCATCATCACGTAAGTGATCCCTATAAGACACAATATTCCTAAAATATTGTATAAATATTATTAACAGTTAATAATATTTATACAATATCCTAAGAATATTGTGTGTTATAGGGATATATCAATTAGTTATGGTCATTATATATCAATATAATAATATTAACATTTTGGTTAACTATAGAAATAGAGAAAGATTTATAATTATATGTATATTTAAGAATTGCTTTTCTTGATTTCAACATTACGAAATATACAGATCTATTCCTTTGTTTATTTATAGTTTTAACACTAATTGAAAAAGATAAAAATCGAGCTCAAGTAAAGACAGAAACAGTAATATTTTACAAGTTACTCACAGTAGATAAATAAACAATAAATGAACTCTATATCATTTAAAAACAAATATTAACATTTTTTACATATATTTTTTAGAAACGTCAAAAAGTATCCAACAAAGTGCAGCATCTGATACACTGAATTCTTTTAATGGTGATCCTCAAACATCGTACAATAGTCCATCTCATTCAACAAATATATTTAGATCATTTTCGAATAGTACTCCAACTATATCAACTGTAATTGAAAATAGTTTTCAAGATAGTATCCACAATGACGATACAGGTAAAACTTAAATTTGTTAAAAACTTTGAAATTTAATAATTATATTATTATTATATTATTGTCTTATATATTTTTTTCAGTTACCAAAAAAATATTTTCCTTCCTTATTCATATTAAGGAACAAAATAACAAAATATTAGCATTATTTAATGATA